GAGTGCCATGGCGTCATCCTAGCTCACAGCAACCTCAAACTCCTGGGCTCAAGCGATCCTCCTACCTCAGCCTCCCAAGTAGCTGGGACTACAGGTATATGCCACCACGTCTAGCTAATTTTTTTTATTTTGTGTGGAAATGAGAGCTCGGTGTGTTGCTCAGGCTAGTCTCGAACTCCTGGCCTCAAGTGATTCCCCCCTTGGCCTCCCAAAGGATCACAGGCATGAGCCAGTGCACCCAGCCACAATCCTTTAAAAATGTAAAAACCGGTTCTTAGGATGTGGGCAGTACAAAAACAAACTGTGGTTTGCAGACCCCTGCTACAGCCACACCTATAAATTTATTTCCACTACATGTGTCTGCACTTTATTCCACAGAGGGCCCCCTTCCTCCTTCAAGAGTCTAAAACCATCCTATGCTTAACAGTTACTTCAAACTGCTTCTGAACACCTGAAAGATATATTCAATTTACATTACAGTAGTCCTCCCTTGAGTTTTGCTTTCCTCAGTTTCAGTTATCCCTAATTTAGCCAAGGTCCAAAAATATTAGAAAGAAAATTCCAGAAATAAACAATTCATGAGTGGTGCAATGAAATCTCTCACCATTCCACTTTGTCCAGCCTGGGACATAAATCATCCCTTTGTCCAGCATATCCATGTGCCAGTTAGTTACTTAGTAGCCATCTTGGTTATCAGATTGAAAAAACATAGTATATACAAGTTCAGGGTTCTTGGAATATATCCCCAAGGATAAGAGGGGACTATTATATTTTGTAAATGAGATTCAGTCTTTGTGAACCTAATTCATTAATTCCTAATTGTAGAATGAAAAGCTTTTGTCCCTAGTAAAAGGAATTTCAGAGATAAGGGTGAAAGAAAAGATCAATTACAAAGAATACACCACAAAAATGTGAAATGTTAATGTAATTAACATGGAGCTATATATTTGCAATTTATCTATTAAATGCCTCAACAGTCCCTGTCGGTATGAAAAACTAATTACTACAATTAAAATAGCTCAATGGGTATGCTGTGCCAGAGGAAAAGAAATGTGCGAGGAGTGATAATACAAGTACAGAAGTAAACATGCTAACCTGTGTACAATCTTGGGCCGAAAAAAAAAAAAAAAAAAAAAAATCAAACAGCCAGGTAAGAAAGAAGAGAAGTATGAGCTGGAAGACCAAAACGGGAGAATCGCTAGAGGGCAGGAGTTTGAGACCAGCCTGAGCAACATAGTGAGATCCCCATTTCTACAAAAAAACAGAAAAACGTAGCCAGGCATGGTGGTGCACACCTGTAGCCCCAGCTACTTGGGAGACTAAGGCAGAAGGATTTCTTGAAGAAGGAGAATCGCCTGAGCCTGGCAGTTTGAGGATGCAGTGAACTATGATGATGCCATTGTACTCTATCACCAGCAACGGAGGGAGAGCCTGTCTCAAAAAAAATAAATAAATAAACCTTCGGAGGTAGTATAGTAATAATGGATTAAGGGCACAGACCTGGGCTCAAATTCTTTAACCACTGGGATTCTCTGGACCTCAGTTCCCTATCTATAAAATAAAGAACTTTTCCAATCCACAAAGTTGTTCAAATAGATTAATATATATAAAATTATTAGCACAGTCCATGGAACATACATAGTATGGTGTCAAAATGCAGTTGCTCTTATTATACTAATAAATCCTTGATCTGTCTCCTAACACCTCACCCACAGCAGTGGCTATATAAACTTAACTAAACTGTGGCACAAAAACTTTAGGGACGGCCAGGCGCGGTGGCTCACGCCTGTAATCCTAGCTCTCTGGGAGGCC